GTGTCCCAGTGCGTTTGCAAGAGTGGTGAAATGCTACCACCTGCGAGCTCCGACGTGCGGACCTCGAGGGGAGTGAGCTGCCACCAGACTCGTCTCCGCATCTCAATGTCGAACAGGGGAAGACCGAGCTTGGAACCGTCCTTGTGGAGCCCGATTCTCTGGCTCATGCGAATGGCAAGGCCAGTCAGCGACCACTGCGTGTGGATATCATGATATGATCTCATGGCAAGCAAGAAGAGGATGAATGCTTGCAGCACGACCAGATCAGATGATCTAAGAAAGCCTGCTCTGTACAGAGCGACCTTGGTAGCGTACTGGAACTTGGTGAGCAGCTGTTGCTTGCTTTCCCCCAAGGCCTGGCACTCTTCGCTGGGCATGGAGACGACGGCCGTGAGGTAGATGGAAAACATGAGGAGCTCCGTCCCGGCGTCGATGGTCTCTAGGTTGTTAACGGCTTTGAGGACCTGCCTTTGGACCGTAGGCGTGTGTAGCAGCTTGACCAGTGGGTTAACATTGTCGAGGTAGGCTTGCCAGAGAGTGAAGATGTGGTGCAGTTGGGGATGCAAGCTGCGGAGGTCGAGTTTGTAGCCATGCATGAGGCCCAGGACAAGCTGACCCTCGTCCAGGTGGTAGGGATCGTATTGGTTGACAGTCGAGGGCCTGGCGCTCGATGGAGTTGGGGCGTCATGGAGCAGCTGCTTTGGATCCCTGATTTCGTCGTGGATGCCTTTCCAAAGGTTGCTCTCGAGATATCTGGAGCTCCCCTTTTCAAAGACTAGACGGCCATTGTCGGGAGTTTTGGTAGTAGCAGGGGACTCTCCGGTACCAGGCGGCCCAGCGGGATCCCTCGGTCTCGGCTGGCCCCGAGCATTGAGCGGAGTGAAGCTAGGAGCCCAAGTTTGAGTCGAGGCCGGAGCAGCAGGTGTCTTGGCCGGAGAAGGCTTGGAATCGACACGGGCTCCAAACTGGGTGAGTAGATGCTCATAGTGGTCGATTTTGGCGTGGAGGTCCTCGTCCGACAGCTTGCGCTTGCGACGGGGCGCCGGGTCCCGAAACTCGCAGACGGCGCGGTACCTCTTACAGGACGAGCAGGGCTCGGTGCGATCGCACTTTACCTTGCGCTTTTGGCAACTGATGCAGGCGTTGGGCTTGAGGTTGGCTGGACTTCCGACGGGACCGTGATCGGGAGCACTGGCTGCAGCGGGCTTGAGGTCCTGGCCGTGGGAGGGATTGACGGGGACGGCAGAAGTGGGCGGGTGCTGAGACATGCTGAGTTGCGGTTGATTGCGCAGCGGGTCCGCGGCGACGGGTGGGCTGGTGTTGCTCATCAAGCTGGATCTTGATTGCAGAGGAGTCGGGTGTGGTGAAAAGCGACCTGAGCGGGCTGGAGCACGGAGACGGGCGGGAGGCAGGCCATGAGGACGCGACCTGACGGACGCTGGCGGGGAAGTCCGACAATCCATCCGACCCGAGAGCGCGCCTCCGAGATGCTCCTTCCTGGGCGCCTCAGGCCTCTGTTCCTCACCTCACTACAGATCTTTCTTCATCTCGTCATCCCGTCCCCTTCTACATCACCGAGTCCGTCCGTCTCGGAAAGTCGTCCCTCTGCACTCAAGAACGTCAACGTCATCTCTCCCATCTGCCGGTATGCCGAAAACCCACCAGCCAAATCACATCCGCCTCGTCAACGCCTCCGCAAGCCTCGGCGCCCACAAAGCCTCCCTTCCTTTAATTGGCAAACCACCTCTTCTCTCCATGATGCAGACTACTACCAGTGCCAGATTCGCGATGCACGCGGGCGCGCGCTACTCCGCGTCTACTCCGGCCCCCAGTTATAAGACTGCATGCACGGCGTCAGCCTCGTTACACCACTGCCTAGCACCCTTTTCTTTCCCTCAAGTCTGACTGCTTTCTTCGCTTTCCTTCTCCTCTGGCCGATGACTCCATTTCCATCCATTCTCTGATTTTTCCGCTCCTTTTTGCACGTCCAACTGCCCGCAATGATCGACAAAAAGCCCGAACATGGTGCAGTTGATGCGCAAGCCCCTTGCGATGATTCGCCGTGCAAGAAGACAGATGTCGAAGCCGGAGACCACCAAGGTTCTCCACAGCCTCTTTATCCCCCAACGCGAGTCGTCGTTCCCATTCTTCTCGGCATTTACGCAGGAATCTTCCTGGTGGCTTTGGATCGAACAATTGTTGGTGTGGCAATTCCGCGTATTACTGATGAATTCCATTCTCTCGGAGACGTTGTAAGCTACGACTGTCAAAATCAAGTCTACAAATGTTGTCTAATGGATTTAGGGATGGTATGGAAGTGCATACATGGTGAATTCGGACTAATACTCCAACCTCGTTCCATACGCTAATGACGTGAAAGCTCACGGCCTGTTCCATTCAACTCGTCATAGGGAAGCTATAGTATGCCTCTCGGCTCCGCAATATCTCCCGCTTGCTAACAAGTCGCCACAGCACCTTCTACAACCCAAAATGGGTCTACTTGATCAACCTGCTCTTGTTCACTGTCGGATCAGCCGTCTGCGGCGCCGCACCCAACTCCATCGCCTTCATCCTCGGCCGAGCCATCGCGGGGCTCGGCTCTGCAGGCATGTTCACAGGCGGTGTCTTACTCGCAATCCCACTGATGCCGCTCCAAAAGCGCGCTCTGATCCAAGGGCTCGCCGGGTCAATCTTTGGGATCGCTTCCGTCACGGGACCCCTCATTGGCGGCGCCTTTGCGTCCAGCTCTGCAACCTGGCGTTGGTGTTTTTACTTGAACCTGTAAGATGTGCGTCGCGTCTTTTGAGATCCATGCTGACGAGTAAAAGGCCAATTGGTGCAGTCACGGCCGTGTTGATTCTCTTTGTGCTCAAGGATACGCCTCCGCCACGTAATGCTGGCCTCACGCTCAAGGAAAAAATCATCCAGCTTGACCCTCTTGGGCAGGTTCTGTTTATGCCCTCAATTATTTGTCTTGTACGTCCGACCAAATTGATCAAATGTGTAAATCTGACCCTTTCTTTAGATACTCGCTCTTCAGTGGGGCGGCAACGAATACGCCTGGAACGACTGGCGCATCATCTTCCTCTTCTGCGTCTTTGGAGTGCTCTTCCTCTCCTTCATTGGGCTCCAATTGCGCAACAAGAATGACACGGCCACCATTGCTCCGCGGATCATCTCCAACCGCACGGTGGCTGGTACTCTTTGGTTCACCTTTTGCAACTCAAGGTATGCCAGCCTTTTCTGATGAACTTACCATTCCGGCTAACACTGCAAAAGTTGCATGTTTGTTTTTGTGTACTATCTCCCCATCTGGTTCCAAGCCATCAAGGGCGCGTCTGCTGTTCATTCAGGCATCATGAACGTAAGTAAAGATGGACTTTACTTCGCTCCGCTTTTCTCCACTGACTTGTCACAAGCTGCCACTGGTATTGAGTCTCGTCGTCGCCAGCATCTTGACCGGCATAACCGTCTCGAAAATGGGCTACTACACCCCATTCCTGATCGCCTCGAGCGTCATCGTCTCAATCGGAGCCGGCATGCTTACGACGTTCCGCACAAACACCGGCCACCCAGCCTGGATCGGGTACCAAGTCCTCCTGGGCTTCGGCCTTGGCCTCGGCATGCAGGTATGTCATCCCCGTCCTCTCACTCAACCCTCGCGCACTGCTGACTCCATTACCATCCAGCAAAGCAACATCGCCATCCAAACAGTGCTCAGCCGCATCGACGTGCCGATGGGAACAACACTCCTCTTCTTCTCGCAGCAGCTCGGCGGCGCCGTCTTCGTCGCCGTCGGTCAGAGCATCTTCACCAACGGCCTGATCCGCGGCGTGTCCGGCCTGACGGACCTGGACCCGCGCTCAATCACCGCCATCGGCGCTACCGAGCTGCAGCAGCGCGTCCCCGCTGACATCCTGCCGCAGGTCCTGGCCGCGTATAACGATGCGCTCGTCCAGGCGTTCCAGGTCGGCTTGGCCATGGCGTGTCTCTCTATCCTTGGCTCCGCGGCTGTCGAGTGGCGGAGTATCAAGTCGGCCAATTCGGACTTGAAGAGCCCGCCGCCGGTTGGCGATGCGCCGGCGCCGCTGCCGGGCGTCGTCGACGCGAAGGAGAAGCTGCCGCTCGACGCGCAGACGAGCGGAAATGATCCGTCTGCGGACGAAAAGGGGGTTGAGAAGGTCGACCCGGATTCGACGAGGGAGGGCAGCAGAGTTGACGGGCATGGCGGAGAGGAGGGTGCGCCGGTGCTTTCGTCCGCGGCGAAAGAGAAGGAGTTGGAGGCGCAGGGGGCGTCGAGAGCGGCGTCGGGAGCTGAGGTGGTGGGCGAGAAGAATTGATGAGGGACGCTGCTAATGCCTCTCCTCTCTTTTCACTTGTCCCTCTCCCCTTTTTCCGTTCTCACGACTTAATCTTAATTCAGGCGTGCATGAGAGATGAGGAAGCAGACAGACAGACAAAACGACTATAGATAGACCTTTTCTTTTCCCATGTATCCAACGGTATCATACTTTATCCAGCAGCAGTAGCAGTAGCACAGCATGTAAAAACCTTCACAAATCAACATCTAATTAAGAACGCTACGACCGCTCCGTCTTCGCCCGCAAGTGACAAAGCGAGCCGCATGCAGGCAGGCCTTGTCTTCATCCGCCCCTCTCTCCACTTGCGCACGGATATACGGTATTCACGGTCACGGAGAGCAGCACGATGCAGAAGACAGTGTGATGGGCTTCGCTCGTTTTGGCTAGCCATGCGAGGCAATAAACGCCGGAGAGACGGACAGCGAGTAAGTACAGTACCGACTCGACCACATCGACCGCGGTGATATACTCTGCGTTCAGTGTCTGCTGGCTGAGCACTTCTTTCTGTCGTTCATTTTCGCCCAGTCGTTTACTCTATAATTTACAATCCAACATTTGCTCCAAAAATTACTAGACTGTTCGAGACCCCTTGAGCAGCTGCCTTATAACCCACAGTCCCAGAAGCTCATGTAAAACAAATCTGTCGTGGTGCAGTGGTAGCCCGCCAGACCTTTCAAGCAGTTTCAACAACTGTGTAGGCGTGCAGGCAAGGCTTGTCGGATCTGCCGCGAGCACTGGTAAAGCGCCGCGAAGGACTGGAGACCCGAGTTCGATTCTCGGCGACGGGGTCACTTCTTTCTTTTTGGAGGATCTGAGAGGTTTGATGGTGGCAGTGTTTTTGGGCTGCTGTTTGGCATGACGGACAGCGCGAAGTTGCATACGTACCTAGGCACAGTGCATGTACGCAACCGACGCAGGCAATCAAGACATTCCCAGCCTCTAAACTCTCATCTCTTGTCCACACTCCAATCAACACCGACAATCCACCTCCGCCTCTCCGCTCCGCTCCCGACATCGACATCCCAACTCGGCGCGGCAATGCTCACCTCATCGCCCACCGCAACGCCCGCACGCCCGCCCCTCGCCGGTCCTACCAACAGCGCCCTCACGTCCTCGCCACTCTCTCCCGTCGCCGCCGTTCCGGCAAGCAAACGCAGCGGATTGGCGCCCACCGTCTCGGTCGAGCGCGAAACAACCATGCGCGACAGCTGCGACGATGAGCGGCTGCTGTCGGGCCCGTGGCCGACGCCCAGCACCCAGCCGCGCACCGTCTCGGCCATGCCGCCCGGCACGAACTTTTGGTTGCGGCGGTGCGGGGAGAAGTGCTCGGGCAGCGGGGTTGCGTCGGCGAAGTCGGCGTTGTTGGCGTTTCTGGAGGAGGGCGGGAGGCGGAAGGGGTTGCGTGGGCGAGATGATGTTGTTGAAGGCGGTGGTAGGGGGTCTGCTGTGGTTGGGTCGAGTGAGTAGGCGCGGTGGGGCGTTGCTTCGCTGTGCTTGAAGCGTGGTGGCCGTGCTGTGCGTGGTGGGCTTGTTGGGTTGGATAGTGATGCGGCTCGCTGGGTCACGGTGGACGGATCATGTCTGGGATGTGTGTCTCCATGTGACGGTCGTCGTGCGAGTGAGCGGCCTGGATCGGCTTCAACACTTGCTTCTCGCGCTGCGTCGGCATTTAGAGACAATCTTCGGCGCTTGGCCGGGTTCTCGTTGAAGAAATCGGCGTTTCCTTGTCGTTGCGGCATGTGGATATCGCCGTGTGAGTGAGCGATCGAAGCATGACGAGGCTCGACGCTCTCCACGACCACTCGCGATTCGGAGTCCCACAACATCTCATCTGCTGGGTCCCCTTGCTCTTCAGCTTCGACATCCTGTTGCGACGAGTCCTCAATGCTGTCCGTCGTATCCAAACTGGGGCCAAACTGTTGTGTTCCGGGAGCGGCATTTCTGCTGAATTGAGATCCCGTCACGTCGGCATCATGTCTGGATGCAGGAACCGAGAAGCGCGGCGTTGGTTTGAATTGCGAGCTGGACACATTGTGACGAGGTTCTCGGTCATGCGGCGTATGAGGAGACGGAGGCGGAAGTGCCTGGCGAAGAGAGGACGGCGGCTTGTGAGAAGATCTAGAGTCACGCAGCGGCTTGAATCGGTGAGGCGAAGGCGTCTGCGCTCGCTCAGGTCAGTCACATCTTCACCAACTGTAGATGGGAGTGTGCTCACAACAGGTGGAGGCATGATGGTGGTGCGAAGGCGGAGATTGCGGGACGAGAGCCGAGCAGGCGATGACGTCGGGGGAGGTTTAGCCTGACCTAGGGGAGGGCGCGACGCGTCTTCCCTTCCGCTCGGCCCACAACCTCTTCATCTCCATGTCGTCCCCTGTCCACAGCACCCGTCCGACCGCTGCAAACCAAAACACCCGACAGCTTAATTCCAGACGCTCAACCAATGATCTACACACACCGACCCGGATCTCCTGATAGCTCTGATAACCGCCCAAGAGTCATCCCCGATGGCCGCGTCGACAAAACCTTGATACCCAGTTTCTCGACGAGCCATTTCTACCAATGCATGGCTGACAAGTCTCAGATGGCGGCTGCCGCCAAAAGTACGAACACGATGCTCGGCAGAGCGAGAAAGACAACGTGCAACCACGCGAGACTTGCCGTGACTTGTACCAATGCCCCAGACGTCTGTGTTTGCGAGATTGATGTTGCCGAACTCGAATCCTGCCCGACGACGAAAAGTAATCAGCATGAGAAACGGCTGTGATCTTTGAAGGCAGCAAGATCGTACCAATGGCGCTGCTGTCGCGCTCAGCTCGTCAGCGCCAGGCATCTCCGCCGTAGTTGTGGCCATGGCCCCCAACGGCAATTCCCTCCCACCGCCAGTTGCGGCCGACGCGTTACTTTCAACACTGGCATCAGCCACGGTGGTGGTGCCAGCAGCAGCAGCAGCAGCCTGTCAGGACCCGACCCCAGCACAGGGAGTCTCTCGTCAGCCACGGCGCACATCTCGCAACTTACCCCTTCCGCCTCGTCACACCACCCCCACACTCGCCGCCGCGAATAGCAGCAGGAGAGTAAGAAATCTTTGTGACTCACCAAGTCCCCACAGCACGCCGCCTGTCCATTGCTTCCCCCCTTCCCACTTCCCCCTGTCCCTGTCCCTGATTCGGCGCAAGCCCTCGCACTCCCGCCTATGCAGCACACCTCGCCCGCCGCGGGCCGGTAGCATGTGTACGTCGGCCACGCACCGCCGCAGTATCTGACGTCCTGCCCACGCCGAGCGCAGCACGCGTCGCCATCGTCAGACTGGGCGCATGTCCAACTGGCCGTGGTAGCAGCGGCGGCGGTCGAAGTCGATGGCATCACCTTCTTCGCTGCTGCGGTCGTCGAAGTCGTCGTCTTTCCCGGTCCATCGGACGACCCTACTACGCCGAGGCCCTAGATACACAGCAGCAGCTGTCAGCACCGGTCTCGCGTCCCTCTGTACCGACAACAGAGAGGGAGAGTGTGTATTCATGAGGGGAGACAGAGAACAGAAACATACAACATCCCCACAGCAGTCGTCGCCGCCCGAGCAGGCCGACCCGTCGGCGCAGCACGTCTGGCTCTGGCTCGGGTCGAAGCAGCCGGTGCGGCCACAGTAGAGGGCGCCGGGCCCCAGGCACGCCGCGCAGTCGACGCTGGTGCTGTCGCCGGTCAGCGCGCAGAAGATCTGTCGGGGCGACAAGGCGAGGTGGGCTGCTTGGCTTGGTGGGAGCGCGGCGAGAGTGAGAACATGGAGGATGAAAAGTAGAGGAATTGATATTGAGAATGGTGAGTTTCTCATTGTGGCGGTCTTTGCCTTGGGGAAGAACAAGGACGTTGGATGTGAGTGGAAAGGGGATGCAGCTTGTCATGGCACTTTATATCATCTTGTCGACTGAGTCGCTATTGAGTGCTCTTTTCGTGATGCTGCAGTTGCTGGCCGAGACAGTCTCAAGACTTACGAAGCGTTGGTCCGCACGGCGTTGTCCACATCGAAGCGACGCTATAAGAAACGATGGATTGGTATCTGGGGTATATCAAGCACAAGCACGAAATCAAAAAAACAAGACAAGACCTAGCCTCTACCACGTTCCCCACGCCGCTCTACCTCCTCGCAGTCTTCATGCGCGCCTTCTCTGCCTGCATAGCCCTCTCCATGCGCACAGCCGCCCGCTCCGAGATCCTGTCGTCGTCGTCGTCCGCGTCGGGGGTTGCGGCCTCCTTCTCCTCGAGCCACACCTCGCACCACCAGCAGCGGCAGACGTCGTAGTCGTCGCCAAACGCCTGCTTGTACAGCGCCTGCGTGTCGCGCCAGGCGTCACCGCGGGCGTCGTCGTCGATGGCGTCGTCGTGGTTGATGAAGCGGCCGGCGAAGGCGCGCGAGGTGGCGGCGTAGCGCGCGGGCGAGCACAGCGCCGTGTGCCAGGCGACGTCTATGAGCAGGGTGGGGACAAGCGTGGCGGCCGGGTGGAGGGCGAAGAGCAGCAGGAAGCGGTGGTAGCACAGCACGGCGTGGTGCAGGGTGCGCGCGGCGGCGGGCGAGCGCAGCCAGTTCTGCGTCGCCATCTTCTCCCAGAACGTCTCCTGGCGGTGGATGGCCGGCAGCAGGAAGGCGAGGGCGTGGTGGTGCGCCTCGTATGCCTGCGGCAGCGGTGTGTATTCGTATGGCTGCACGCCGAGGCTGGACAGGCTGAAGGGCTGCTGCTGCTGGCGATTCGCGTCGGGGAGATGCGATTGCGCCAGTTTCTCGAGAAAGGTGCGCGTCAGCGTGTCGTGGATCTTGTCTCGCTGCAGCGACGACAGCAGGTCGGCCTCGAGCCCCGTCTTTTGCTGGAACACGTCCTGCGCTTCCGCCGTGAGCTGGTACGTGTTGGTGGAGGCGTCTATGGCTCGGTGGACGGCTTTCCAAGGAAACTCCATTTGCAGTAGCGATTCGTGCCCGTCGCGACACAGGGCCTGGTATTTTTGCGGCGTGAGCAAGTACGTGTGCCAGACCATCAACACGTCCAGCGGCGGGAGCGTCTTTTTTGTGATTTGGGGAACTGCTCCGTCGGGGGCATCGAGGATTTTGACGACCGCATCCCACCACTTGCCGAATCTCAAAACGGCCAGGGTGAGATAGGTATTCCAGGCAGCTTGGGCCCTGGCACTCCGCTTGCGTTTGGTGACGACCCCAAAGCTGTAGGGCTGCCTGAGATTGAGGGCGTGGGCAACGATGTGGGACTTGGTGCATCTCGACTTGGTGGTGTGGAGGACCTCGAGCAACTCCAGATGCACAGCACACTCGGCGGCTCTGGGAAGGGGTTCCTCGGCCGTGGGTACGTCCAGTAGAGAGGTCTGAGATGCTCGTCCAAGGGGCTTGAAGAGAGAGTGAGCCGGAACGCGTGGGGAAGGAGATGTCACGTGAGGAGGAGGTGACTTGAACATTCTGAACGGTCTCTTGAGATGACTGCGGCAAGGTCAAGAGCTGCGCGGACTCGACAACGAAGAAGACTCACTGGAGGTTTTTGGGGCGTGGCTCCTGTGGCATGTCATATGGGAAGGGCAAGGCATGGAGTTGGCGCGCGCGTAGCCGGGCCTGGGATGAGAGAGAATCAAGGTACAGAAGAGAAATATTTGAAGGGAAGCGAGACAGGGCTGCGATGGTGAGCTTATTCAGGAAAGAGTTACGGCGGTGGCTGAGGGTTCGATGACAAGGCTGACAGCGGTTCTGCCTCTTGCGGCTTCGAGTGCCGTTGCGCTGTGCTGATACGGTGGCGACGAC